CACCTGTCCATTCACATTTCTAGTAAACACCATTGATCTGATCTGAATGGATCTTGGTATGCATGTGTTTACTGATGTGATCTCTGTCAAGTTAGAATTGGCTTGTTTTTATTGAACAGTTTTTGAGTTATTGCCCTTGACTTAGTAATAATTATATTTTATGTCCACCTGTCCATTCACATTTCTAGTAAACACCATTGATCTGATCTGAATGGATCTTGGTATGCATGTGTTTACTGATGTGATCTCTGTCAAGTTAGAATTGGCTTGTTTTTATTGAACAGTTTTTGAGTTATTGCCCTTGACTTAGTAAAAGCACGTAAAAATGTGGTTTATAAACACGATAGAGGCTATGGTTTTTATCCGATCTTGTTGAGACTTGATATGCTTTTATATATTGATGAGGTCTCAGGCAAGTTCTAATTTGGCTCTATTTGGACGAAGAGTTTGCCCTTAAAAGAGTTATATTATGAGTTATTTCCTTTGTTCACTACGTTAAATTTCTTCTAGTGTCTGAATTGAAGCCAACTAATTTTAGAGCGACAGGTTCAACTGCTACTAGCTTAACTTTCTTTTGGAATGTACCCAGTGATACTTATATTAATGAATATGTAATCAGTGGAAACAGTTTTCAAGATACAACTATTCAGGTCTCTACAGCTCGTACTGGTACAGTAACTGGTCTATCATCAGGAACTGATTATACTAATATTAAGATAACAACTAAAGTTAGAACTGATAGAGGTAGTACTACTGAAGATGCTGTGTCTGATGAGATAACTGATAGTACCAGTAAGTAACATTAACTTTCTACTGGTTTAAACTCTACAATAGTAAGATGAGTAATCTAATTTGTCATTCTCATTCTTGTTTAGGACACAAATTGTTATTAGTAAAGTGAAGGATCCATTTTTCACATCTTAGTAAACAAACCTTGTAAAATGTATCATTTTAACACGATGAGGTTGCAGGAAACTCAACCTTAGACCTCAAAATTTATTTCGCTAAGTTGATCGATCAGACCCATGTTTTCGGAACATATTTGAATTGCTCTGTACTCACATATTTCACCATGAGATTTTTTCTTTGATTTTTTACGTAATTAGTGTTTCGGGTTACTTTTTCAATTGAATGAAATGAAACTTTTTATAATTTGAACTTTCTGCACTGTTTAATTTTATAATAGTTATGATTTGTTCTGTCCTTATCTTAGTCCGAAACATCTACCTCTATGCCAGCTGACAACTGTCAAAATAGCAATCAAAGGCTTGAATAGAGGTAGATGTTTTGGTCTATTCTAATGATTTAATGCTATTTCAATTTCTAGATCCTGGTAAACCTGGGCCTTTAAATTCTGATAATAACTATGATACTACTAAAGTAATGAACATTGGATTTGTTAAACCAACTGGTGGAGTAGATAAATACATTGTAGAAATAACAGGACCAGGTCTTAACACTCCTTTTACACAAGAACCAACTACTAATAGTATAACTGTACCAGCTAATACATTACAATCTGGTAGACAATACAGTATCAGTATTATTGCTGTATATAATGGAAAGAATAGTGTAGAGTTTGTAGGTGTTTTCAACACACTTTCAGTAGGTTGGTATTCATATAATTTCCACTTCCGATACCGAAACACAAACCATCTTTTTCATGTACAAAAAAGCGTATGATATGAATATCCATGTTACTTTAGCACAGTAGTATATAAATTGTTTGAACAGTTTGTACAGTTGCTAAAGGAACATCATGGATATCAGTTTCGGGCATCCACTGTTTATGATTTAAAAAACATGGAACGATTGTTTCAACACAGATATCCTGGACTGAAAACGCTCATGTTACTTGCAAGATGCATTTATATATTTTGGGAGTATATTGTAATTACCCTGACGGCCCATCGGTCCTTTCACATTTGGCTCGTGCTCATTCTACAGGCTACAATTCTACACAGATTCAAATGGTTTTTATTTTGTAGGTCAATGTCATTATGAAGTTCATGATCCTAATCGATTTTCTTGATGATCTGATAACTTTGCACCGAAATGTCGTGTGCGACCTAGCGTTTTCACTCTATAAACTGTATTGTGCAACTCGTGCTCACTCTACAGGCAACAATTCTTTATGGATTCTTCTGATTTTTATTTTGTAGGTCAATATCATTATGAAGATGATCCCTTTTCATCGTCATGTTTCATCGATTTTCAGGATGATCAGATAATTTTTCACCAAAATGTTGTTTTCAACTTAGTGAACTCACTCTATTAGACATATAGTGCAACTTTTCACTCTTGAGGCAACAATTCTTTATGGATTCTGTTCATTTTTATAAGCCCACGCGTAGTATGGAAGCATATTGTCACCCGTCTTTCGGTTCACAATTGTTTCATGCTCACTATACAGGCAACAGTGATTTATACTTGTAATCAAAGCTGCTGGTGAGCGTATAAGTCACCTTGTTTTGCAAGGCTATCTTTATAAATCCACATGGGAATTTGGACAGTGATTGGACTTGGGTCATTTTTTAACAAACCTTTACATGGGACAGCGAATATATACTGAACTGATCGTTATGTTATTAATGATACTAATGTTTAATTTAGGGTCTGATCCTGTTAAAGATTTAATTATAACTAACATCAATAGTAGAAATCTTACTGTATCTTGGTTTTATCCTGATGAAGATATGGGTGTTCTTACTGCTTATATATTAGATGTGAAGATTGGTAGTGAATGTATTCAACAATATATATATGTTACTGATATTAATAATAAGGTAAGAACTAGGATGTATATTATTATTCAATATTAGATATTGGTACTGTTACTGATATTAATATCAAGGTAAGTATCAGGATGTATATTATTATTCAATATTAGATATTGGTACTGTTACTGATATTAATAATAAGGTATGTATCAGGATGTATATTATTATTCAATATTAGATATTGGTACTGTTACTGATATTAATAATAAGGTATGTATCAGGATGTATATTATTATTCAATATTAGATATTGGTACTGTTACTGATATTAATAATAAGGTATGTATCAGGATGTATATTATTATTCAGTATCTGATATTGGTACTGTTACTGATGTAGATAATAATGTAACAAAGATGATTTGAAAGCTGGTGAATATAGTACTAAATACAACTTATTTTATTTTGCTATTTTAGCCAACGACTAATAATTGTGCAGGTGTAACACCAACATATAGTGTAAAAGATTTAAAAGCTGGTATTATACAAATAATAACTGATTTGTTACCATATATCAACTATACTCTTATAGTTACACCATATAATAATGTTGGACCAGGATCTGTAGCTTCTAAATCAGCACTAACACTTGCAGAAGGTAAAACACATAAAAACTGGTTTGATATTAGTATAATATAATTTCTGTTTCCTTGTTACAATATTTTGTTTCCTTAGTTATGTTGAGTTTACCATTTATGGGATATTCCCATTTACTTTAATATCTGCAATTACAAACAATAATATCTCAAGAATCAGTACACAAATTGTGTATTTCCACAGTAATAACAATGTTTATACTGGCATTCAATCCTTTAAAGAAATCAGTCTACGTATTCTCGAAAACGATCTTAGCGCTAGGAAACAGTGTAAGAAGATAAGACTCTAGGACATCTCATTGCTAAGATCGTTTCGATAAAACGGGTCATGGGGTTATGAGCATTTGAAGCATTTGAGAGATTTGAATATTACATGTCGCCTGCAATATATTCAAAGATGTCTCTCGTCTATTTAAGCTGCTGGTGAACCAAGTAATTTGAATGTACCAGAAATCAATGCTAAGAGCTTTCTTGTGACTTGGAATAAACCATCTCTGAAAACTGGACCAACAACATATTATTTGTATTTATATGAACAGAAAGATCTGTCAAATAACCAGGCTAGTCTATTAGTCAAAACATATGCTGTACAAGGTTTGTGAATATTTACTTTTATTTAAATAATTCTCTATAATATTTTGTATAAGTATTGATTTTGTTAGAATTGTTGAACATATTGTTTTTAAATTTGGTAAGTTAAAAACAAGATAGCTTCACCAGCAAGGTAACATACACCACACCCAATGGCAGAACAAAATGGCAACCATCATGAATATGCAGTATTTGCACATTCATTGCTTTTGGAATGTTTTCGTTTACAAAAGGCTCCATACTTCATAACTTGAGTATTTTTGGTATGAATATAGCGAGGCAAAAGATTTCGGGGCTGGAAACTGGACAGACTATAAAAAGTGACACCCTTTTCCACAGACATAAACATTTATATTATCATTTATATTATCATTTATATTATCATTTATATTTATAAAATAAAGATTTTTTTCTACAAAATTTATTTTTTACAGAGTTTTTCTTTAGTATTGTCATTTGTTTTTAGTGTAGTTCTGACTCGTCTTCCTTAAGTGAAAACAATTTCGTCAGACATTTTCAACCAAGTTCCTCAAAATCATTCAGAAATTGTGCCTTCCAAAGTATGAAAAAAGCGGATTGACGTTGGTGATGGCAATATGTAGTCCACAAAAATCAGCAAACATTTCTGGTTATTTTTGACTTATTTATCATAATATTCAGAAATATTGTTTTTTTTGTGTGTGTTGATTTTTTTGTGTGTGTGTTGATAGCCATTGAAATTGTGTTGAATCAACTGCGCAGTACCATCTTGAGGGAAATTTAGATCCACCGGGCTTATTTATCAAATTTACTGCTGATCAATCCTATTGCCAAGAGGGTTGTAGTTACTTATTGTATATAAAATATTTAATGTCTTTTACAGGTTTTGATACTGAAGAATATCGAGTTAATGATGTAGTTAGCTACTGGTATTATAGAGTGGAATTACAGGCATCTACTGCTGCTGGAAATAGTTCGATTAAAATTATTTCAGAATTTCAAACATCATCATCACGTATGTTCTATTATAAGCGAATGTCAATGGTTAACTTACACATTTTTAATTTGCTGGAACTGCTAAAATAATTAAGGTCATTAAAGAAAACTGTTTGCAAAAATTCCTATGAAAATGTTTCATGCCATAAACTTGAACTTGCTTAAGAAATTACTAAAGATAATTCTCGCTGGTTTTTGACAATGGATGATGTATATGAAATTAGACCAAAACATAATAACAAATTTGCTAGAAACAACCCTCTTTTGTATATTCCCCAACAGTCTTTAGATTAATCTTATCTGAAACCCTTAAAAATAAAAACAATATTTTCTTCACCTACAACAGACAGATAGCTTATTTAATACATTTAATGTCTTTTATAATAAAGCTTCAATTATTTTATCTTCAGCTCCAGGAAAAGTTGAAAGTCTAACAGTACGCCATAAAAGTGAAATATTTACATCAGCAGAAGTCAGCTGGAGTTGTATTAAAGAAAGAAATCGACATGGAGTTATTATGTACTACACATTGACTTCTACTCTAGTGGTAAAAATATGATTACGATTAATGTTCCTGTATGATTTTGTCAAATTTCTCAACTAAAACTTTTTCTGAATCCTTATCACTGTAGTCTATGAGGTTCAAGTTTGATATGTCTTTATGTATATTAGTAAAATATTTATTGAGCTACACAATATACTTAATTTAAATTTCAGAATGAAGATCCTAGAGATATTCAACCTAAGGAAATTTGTACATTTACTGAAACCGTCAGAGTAAAGCCGGGAGAAGATATTACATTTACAGTTGTGAGTAGATGTAGCTGTATAATACAGTTTTTTTTATAATTTCTTATTGAGATTGAGGCCTTAGCTAAAACATAATCTCATCATCCATTATCCTATATGATACGTGTAAACATTTTCGTCTTTTTCAATTTGCCGTATTGAATGCTATTTAGTTGATTATAGATTTTTTATACCATCACAACTGTTTGGACAATTCGTTAATTGCATGTTTTAGTAGCTCAATTCTGTTCAATTTCAGAATCAAACAAACGTACAATTCTCTTTCAATACAATGAAAAGTACAAGATCAATTTTGAATGTATTAACTGTATTTACATGGTGTAATTTACCTTTTCAAATGCCATAACAGATGACGTTATTCATATTTACTGAAAAAAGGAAAAGGCAATAATAAAGTGGTATGAATATATCTTCAGATTAATATTCACTATTTTGGCTATTTGTTTAAAAAAAAAAGAATGGATTACGTATTGATATATTTATTCTATTAGAGAGATTGATACTTCTCATGTTAATTTAAACTTTTCAGTTTGCTACTAATATGGACTTTAAAGGAGAAGAGACAGTTATAAAATATCCAGCACCTACAGGAAGTAGGTTCTTTTATATTTCTTTCTGTCTTTATACATTCTTTCTTCCACTAATGGCAAAAAAAATGAATTGAAATCACAAATATGACATAATATCAAAACATCAGCGTTACACTGCACGTCACCAATCTATGGCTGTTTTATGTATTTTTAGAACCAACCAGACCAACCATTCTAATGTAATAGTTATTTTTAAAACTAACTTATTTATTATCTGTATTATGTCTTTTTAGAACCGACCAATCTATTTCCAGTATTATGTTTTTTAGAAACAATCAATAATAAACCCTTAATGTATTAGAACCTGTCATTTTATTCTGTGTATTGTATATTTTTAGAACCAAAACTACCAAAGGAAGATATAATTTTGATACCAAACTCTGAAGTCATTGAACAGACATCATTCTCTGTAACAGTTTGTCCTAGTTGTTTAAGAGATGAAACTAATGGTCCTGTAAAGATAACAGCATTATTAGTCTGTGTTAAAGACAAATGTGATATCAATGGTAAGTATGAGTTTTTAACTTTTTTGTTTAGGGCAAATGACAAATTTTGATCATCCTGATATATGATGTAATGATAAATATTTATATAGAAGCATACGATATTTACTGGTTTCCAAAGCGTGGATAAGTATTAATGGTGTTGATGTAAATCAATGTTGCATTAAAAATTTATTTATATTGTTGCTTTTTAATTCTGGGTCAGTCAAATGATCAATGGAGAACTTTTTCCAGTTTTATTCATTTATTTGAATTTCTTTAAAGTGGATGAAATAGTTTTAATTTATATCTATTACCTGGGAAAGCAAACCTTCTGTAAGGAGGTGGCTGCAGGTTGTCCAGCAATTCAATGTATCTCATCCCATTTCAAGCCTTCGTATCGAGAAACTAACCAAATACATGTACTAGCATGTGCGATTGGCGGTCTGCGGGAAAAGGTATATGTTTTGTCAGAAAGGTGCAAATAGCAGTAACTGTCCTCTTTGCTTTCAGATCCACTAAAACCGATATGTTCTCTCATAATTTGCAGATCGACCTGAACCATCTTTTACTCTTTTAGTTTTTCATTTCTTTCTAGAGATTTATGTATATAATTACAGATAATCAGCTAACTGTAGCAAAGGTTAGAAGTTACGCTAATTGGCAGAAAGTCAGTGCTCAATCATTTGATGCACCATATAGAGTAACAAAGGATACCTGGTATGGTGATAAAGGTTAGTGTTGACATTTTAATATCAAATGATTAAAAAAAACTAAGGCAATTAAAAAATTAAGGCAAATGCTTCCTGCCGAATATAACAAAAAGGAATTTTATATAAGAAATTCAAAATATAAATATGATATCCACTAAAAATATTGCTTTTTTGATGCTTACTGTAGAGGTTGTTACCATTTCAAGTCAACCGATCGCGTTCCGATAAATAACTGTTTTAACAGACAAAATTGGATTTTGGCCTAATTGAAAAAATATCATAGTTACGGCCCTGCTGTCAGCGGACATCATGAAGATAGCCTTTAATGTGCTCCAGAACTTCATCCTGTTCACTTTTGTATGTGTGTCATTGATCTCACTGGTTTCTTCCTCGGCATACTTAATGTTGTATGTGTAAAATATTTATACCAGAATGTTGTTATGGTCTATTATGGTAAACTGTTCAAGGTTCACAATGTTATCCTTGACTTTCCCCTTTCAGGGAAGGATTCGACCTCTCCAAAATGTACAGGCCTAGGTTGGTACCCAAGAAACCAAGCGAGGGTCAGTTTTAAATGCACGAATGAATAATTGAAGAAATTATCTAAATATCTGTTTTCAGATGACGTAGATAAATTAAAATTTGTTGTTGGTGCTGAAAGTGATTGTGACTAACAGCCTGAAGAATATTTTTGCAATGGACCTCTGAAGATGGGCACAGTATATCAGTAAGTTGGATGAAGATTTCCAAGATTTGCTTTTGATAAATCAACGTTTTTAATGCGTTTTACATCTATCACACCTTGGAAAAGTTTTTCTTTGAAAGTTTTTACATAAAACAAATCAATTGTCGTGTGGTAGTTCATAGTTTATTACCACTGCACTAATACAGAAATTTGATTGAAATCTGCATTTGATTTAAAAGGAATAAACCCAATTTCTGAAATAAATTAGTTATCAATTTAAGTGAACAATCCTAAACAAATTTGTTCGTTTAGGTTTATTGGCTTGGAATTGAATTTCTGGAATATCGATAGGCGTTTTAAGTAAATTTATAACAGTAGATTCTTTGACACTTGCCACAATAAGGTGTTAACTAAAAATGAGATAACATCCTCTTTCAGAATATGAAACACAGAAAAATAACTAAGCACTGTGGTCAAACATTAAACTCAATATTTTGTAGAATTCTAGCTGTGTCATGCACTGCTCTGTATCTCAACCAATAGGAACCTACAAAACAAAAGGCGGTAAGTAAGATTATGATCATATCTACAGGGCTTATTTCTTGTCTTATTTCCTGAATCCCGATATATTTTATGTAGTGTACCGTTGCATGAACAAACCATTTATTGGCAAGTCTTATGCTTATCACTTTTATTTTGGAGCTGATTTTTCAATTCATAAATCATTTGTAAAATTATATTTACCGACAAAAAACTTCAGTTGGACTTCACAAGGTGCATTAAGGAACTAAGGAACTTATTTCAGAACCTTTCATTCTTAGATTCTACAGATGACAGTATTTCTCCAGCAGTGGCAGGGATTGTTGGCGCCCTAGTAACTTTTATAGCGATGATCGTTGGAATAGTCATTTATTGTATAGTGAAAAGAAGGTATAGAATTTTTAAATAGTAACATTTACATTTAAAGGCCAGGTGCGCCATTTTGGGGGGTAGATTTGAGTCCTGAATATATGTAAATAGTCTTCAGAAGTACCCGAAAATTACGAAAATCGAATAATTCATTCAACATAAGAATTTCTTTTGATTTCTTTTCTATATATGCCAGTGTCTCAAATTTAAACGCGAATAATTCTGGACACACATGGCTTTGAAGGCTCAAAATTCGACAGTGAGCTATGAACACTATTTCTGATTGAAATTCCCGTTCCTGAGACTTAAGGTATGATTGGTCACAAAAATGGCACACTAGTCTCTTTAAGAGACAATTATTGTACACCTGTTATAATCGAAATATGTAATGAGATGATAGCTCCAAATGTTATATTATATTATATTTTATTACAATTCACTTATTAGAAACTCGTTTGGTTGGCCTACAGATCTTTACAGAAATTGGCGACATTGTGTTGGATTGTTCATTATTATCTTTGAAAATTGTTCAATTTACCATCCCTTATTATTCTATAGTACGCTTTCTTGGCGGGTTTGAATCCAGCTTTATGAAATGAGTTACTTTCATTCCGGGATGTATATCGTAAAATGCTCAATCTTAAAACATGGTATTAAGGAGTGAGAGCCGACACAGGACCGACCTTCGGAAGCACTGGCTTAGGCATTAGAATTTATCTTACCTTGAGGGGGATTCAAATCCCCGATCCCCTTGGTGAAATAGTCCATAATTAATTCATACCAAACCACACCATCTATATACGTTATGGCCCTTTGTTTTGGAAACCAGGTTGACTAAAAACTGGTGATTATAACCATCCCAAGTGTAATGAAAAGTGATTAAAAACTATAGATTTTAACTATGAGACGCAAAGTAAACGGACCAGTATTCATTTGTAAAGATATCGAGAAATATGAAAATATAAAATGCCAAGGTCCAGTTAGAAATTGTATCATTACTATTTTTTCAGAAGATCGAAACAAAAGGAAAGTAAAGAAGGAACTGTAAACTACACACCACACTCAAATGGAACTTCGAATCCTGAGACTGCAGCATATGTCAACCTCCCAAATCGCAACAGTGACGTTGAAACTGCAGCGTATTACGTCAATGTTCCAGATCAAAGACACAATGAAGAACAAGGTCCATATGCGTCTTCAGATGATGATTTAACACCTCCCGTTTATGAAACTCTCAAATGATTTTAGATACACGTATAACTAACAATAGAAGTTTTTTCTGTATATCGTCAACACTGATATTATCTGTTTTTATCATTCCATTTTCTGACATATATGCGGCTCTTGTAAATCAGGAAAATATGAACAGATTATGACTTCACTAAAAGCAAATAACAATAAACCAGCCATTCATAAGAAACCACAATTTCCTCTGCAATTTTGCACCAGGACAAAAGCCCCAAGGGACAAAAGCCTCAATCACCTAGGACAAAATTCTCCACCACAAAAAAATTAATATTATGTTATATGTACCTATAGTGTAACAGTCGTAAGGGTATTTTACAAGAAAAAAGACCTTCTTTGGGAACATTCCCATCGAAGTGTATTTATACTCTCAGAAATAATAAATATGATATGTATATAGATATATGAACTGTATATGAAAATTATTCACTTTATGAAATATTATAAATATGTAAAAATATTTAAGAATTATGTGTATTAAAAATATAGATGAAATGGTGTATGAATATCACAGTAGACTGAAATGAAAATGGGTATATTAGCAAAGTTGATATCTCCAGCAATCGATAAAACAAGGTTTCAATTATATCACCCGACATGTTTTAGTGCAGAGCGATTGGTCCAGATGGTGTTAAAGTAATGGTACATATCGTTACAGTGAATGATCAATCCCTACCACGAATCTTACGAATCAGGATGTGTCTCTTCAGGGAGCTTGCCATAAAGTAACAGAATCTATTCCGTAATGGCGATAGTTTATCGTACATTATAAAAAGATGTAGCAACGTTTCAGGATGTCTGTGGAAATACCCAAACTGACTTGGTATAAAACTCCCGCGTGCTCCGTGTTGAAAGTAGTTGCCGAGTCAGAAGGAAGAGGAATTCCTTTTCTCCACGACTCAAACTAGAATTCCATAAATTTTGGCACACGCAAGAGAATTTTATGTGTCAAGTCTTCATTAGTCGACATCATACAGAAAAGTAGGACGTAAAACTGCATTTATTTCATTTATTTCCAAAGGTTTTCATATATGATTTTCGTGGTAATTTCCTGTTTCCAATTGATTTTATTCTTCCTGTAATGAAATTTTATTGTTTTGAAACGGTCAATGTCAAACTCTCAAAGAAACTCCCATCCAGAATTAAAGAAGGGATATCTGCGGGTATTTGCTCCTCCCTATGGCCAATTTAACAGGCCGGAGGTCTAATGCCTGGAGCTTCAGATCAATGTCACAAACTCCAAGCCCTTCCATTTGATAAGTATGTTACTCATTCTATTGAGATTAAGATTCCGATAACGGTCATGGTTATCAGAGCCGCGGAAGATACCTAGAATTTTAACATTTTTTTTTATATACACTTTATGAGTGTCTGGAACGTGGGCAGACATCGCCCCTGTACTATAAATTTTCAGTCTAATTTTTGTTAATTTTTGTTTCATCCCGAAGCCTTCTCAAAGTATTATTATTATTATCATTATGTTGTAATCCATCCCATGTTAGTCATCCTCGACCGGTTTAAGTCAAGAATGAATTAGTGCATATCTTTTCTTATATTTATGTTACACATATAAACGATGTATGTATAGGCCTATGTAAAGTGTCACGTGTTAAAAAACGTCTCCAACTAGGAAGTTGATTTAAGAAGGATCGGGATTTCCCGGATTCGCACCATTTGCAGGTGATTTTCGCTCGGATTGAAAGTTAGTTTGGAGAAAAATGGCGTGCAATCATATTAACAACATAGCATACCTCTTGTGTGTATTTTTATTAGGTTACGTAAGTAAATAATGTTATCAATAAGTTTTCGTTGTTCATAAGTCTTAGCATACGGTATATCTTTTGGAAGAATGATAAAGCTACATTCTCTTTTTATTTGAATTTACCACTAAGCAGCCCCGAAGCCAGAAATAATTGTGGTATGGGGATGAGTGGGGGACAATTGGATGTGGTGTTTGTTTGCAGTGATGATTGTGTCGCTCGGCAGATCACCTCACCCTCCGTAACCACGGGCCTGCTTGTCCAAGAATTTTTGAAACTATCCACAGACCCTATCGTATTCTTTATAATGTACATTATCAGAAAAGCCACCATGGCCATGAAAACATACCTTACGCATTATCAACAACTTTACTATGAAAAGCCATGAAAACATACATTGTGCTTAAAGGGCACATATTAACTATGATATTTGTCTTTAAATGTCTGTATCATATTATTTCAGGTATCATGTAATGTTGGAGATGGTTGTAATAGAGGTGATGTTAGAACATGTGGTGGTAAACCTGCAGGTACAGGATATCAATGTGATAACAGTAATCGATGTCAATGTACTGCTGACTATTATGATTCTAGTGGAGTTTGTACAGCAAGTAAGTTCGTTTTGAAAATGTAGACTTATTTTATACTATATATCTTTGTCAGTAAAATATGATTCAGAAGGTTGAACCCTTTTTTCCTTTAACATTCACTATTCGAATGGTTTTGATAATTATATTTACTGTGGACATTTAGTAGTATGGGTACATCTAGAATCTACTATATGGGTACAGTAAATATGTAAATTAATACAAGCAGCTCATTCGAGAATCTAGATTAAAGTAATTCTTTCTGATAACTAAGTTCCTTTTTTTGTTTAAATTAAATGACTTTTCACTTTCATGGGCCATAATGAATCTGTATCTAGTAGCAGGTATAAAGGTAATACAGTGGCATTGTATTGTATTGTGCATTTTGTGATACAAGTACCAAAATTAGCATACGTTTACTTTAATATGTTGTAAACATTTCTGGATATGGAGCCGCCTGAAATTCTACCTGCACAAGAGGCCATTTTTATTAACAGTTTTGATCATTGGTGTATATAACAAGACAACAAGATACTATGCCTGCTACTATTATGATGAATATTCAGTCCTATATCAATCTTGTTGTATTTAGCGTCTCTATCCAATGACCTTCACTAGCTTGACACAATTTCGTAGTTTCATCTTCAAGCAGGTCAATAACTATACGCTCAATAGGTGTTATTAAGGAAAGATCGCCTAATGAATGGTCGTTTCTTAGTTACTTGATACCTAGCCAATTTTATTATGAATAAAATGAATATGTCTGACAAATATGGAACGCTTCTTGATCTTGTCTTTATTATAAAGTCTCTCCTTCGCTGATATCAAAAGTGGAACTGTTTATTTTTGTATAATCATGCATGTTAGAGTGCCCATTCTCGTTCAGTTTCGAGAAAACAATCGTGCTGGCTGGAATCGGAAGAAATGGTACAAATCCGATGAAATCGTAAGACTTGAGACTTATTTATACATTAAAAGGTGTGTTTTCGGTGAAATGAACTCTTATGCAAATATGAGTATCGGTTTATTTGAAGAATATCGAGTGTATTCATTACTGCTTTGGATCGCCTTTGGAAACAGTGGATTCATATGCATCCTAATCGAAATTGACACAATATAATGAACCTTTATCACTCTTTTTGATAACAATTGTAAATCCTGTTCAAACTTGCGATTTATTTTTTCAGTATTTGTGGATGTATGGCAGCTTTGGGTGGTTTCCACGTGGATTTAGAAATGAACAAGGTTCTAGTACCACGAGTGGGTGGATTCAAAAGAAATATGCGCAGCTGAGGTTGTAGATAATCAATATTGGCTACTTTAGGTGAAGGGATAAACTCAAATCCACGGTGTTAAGGTGAAATTAGAATTTAGCTCACAGAAAGCACACGATCTAAGATTGAATGTTGAAGGGGAGTGAGAACTTTATGGCCCAAGGTCATAACTGTTTGTCCAAGAGGGGGCCTCTCGATATTTTTATCCCCAGTAATTAGTTGAAAGACGCGTTGTTTGAAACTGACATTCCCAAATATTGATTGCTGTTGCTGGAGACCAGAAAAGGTTTTCATCTGGTTTGAGTTAAAGGTGTGCTGTTAAAGGATCCTTTTCGGCTTTCTTTGTAATTCTTTTGGATATGGGTATGCAGGTAAATATGATCCTTGCGTTAGGAAAAGACTGTTGAGATCAGTTTCTCGGCTTGGTAGAAGGAGGTTTTTGGTGATTGGCCTGGTCACGGTACATAAATGTAAATTTAGAAAGATGTAATATTTTAGGGTCTAATTAACAACGTTTTTGATCTTGCAAATTTTTCACACTGCCCCTTTAACTCATACAACTAGTTATATTTCAGAGTAGTACATGTACCTTAAGACTATGTTTATTGTGTATTATTAACTTATACAATTAGTTATACAGTAGTAGTTTAAATAGTTTGTTTAACTATTTTTTATTTCTAGCATTAACTTATACAATTTCGTAATTTTTCACCGCCGAAATATGAACTTTCAAATTATGTTTTCTCATTAATTAACTTCAAGTACAATAAGTAAGTATGTTATATGTTCTGTACCATTTATCTTGAATTATTACATCGATAAATTATAATCCCGTGGGATGATATATTTTTGAATCAAATATTTGAGACTATTATAGTCAAAAAATGTAAATATAACTCAAAATCCGAATAGCATTGTTATAAGTCCCAGAAAACTGTATATTATAGTTCTGACTCTTCTCTGGCTGACGTCCATCAAGAATACCAGGAAAATGATACACCGGAGTATTAATTAGATAATTTTCAAAAACGTACTTGATCCCTGTTAAGATTGTACCCCCACTTTATTTTCAACAAATATAAATGTCTACCTTTTTTCTCTAAAATGTGTGTCAGAATACACTAAATCTATTCATTTTTTTTACAATTTTCTTGAGAGAAGCCTATAAGACGCTCTTTTAAGAGACTTGCGACTAAGACACCACCACAGAGTAGCCAAAATATTAATTCAGCCTCAGCAGTTGTCCCCCCATTGAGGTAATTTACCCCCTATTTGTATCCCCAGTCTTGGAATGCTGGCGCCGCCACTCATTGGATAGTTAGATGGCTTTGAAAATATTATATATATATCATCTATTGACATGTTATTCGGATTAATTTTATATTATAGAATTAGGATATAATGGAGATTGCAGTAATTCAAATGAAGCCTGTATTCCTGATTTAATATGTTATACTGCTACTTCAACATGTAAATGTAATACTGGTTATTACAGATCTACTAATCAATGTAAACCAGGTAATAATATATCTATATTTAGTGATACATATAAATAATTATAAAGTTATAAAGATAGTAATTCTAGATGTAAATATAAATCTGGTGAATATAGATGTGATAATCAATGTAGACCAGGTAATAATATATCTATATTTAGTGATACATATAAATAATTAGAAAGTTATAAAGATAGTAATTCTAGATGTAAATATAAATCTGGTGAATATAGATCTGATAATCAATGTAGACCAGGTAATAATATATCTATATTTAGTGATACATATAAATAATTAGAAAGTTATAAAGATAGTAATTCTAGATGTAAATATAAATCAGGTGAATATAGATGTGATAATCAATGTAGACCAGGTAATAATATATCTATATTTAGTGATACATATAAATAATTAGAAAGTTATAAAGATAGTATTTCTAGATGTAAATATAAATCTGGTGAATATAGATCTGATAATCAATGTAGACCAGGTAATAATATATCTATATTTAGTGATACATATAAATATTTAGAAAGTTATAAAGATAGTAATTCTAGATGTAAATATAAATCTGGTGAATATAATTCTGATAATTAATGTAACTAAGTAAAAATATAGGTGATGCATATAGATAATATGCAATTCTTAAAGAAGTAATAACTACCATTCCTATTCTAAGGTATTTCAGACACTTACTTTTTACATCCAGATTGTCCTGGAAAAATCAGGTTGTTCCAAAACTTTTTGATCTTTTGAATTTTATATTCTTATATTTCTTAGAGTCTGTTCTTTGAGAATGTTCATGAGTGTCTTTGTAAGAAATGTTAAACCCTTTTCACAAATTTTATGTAATAATTTGTTCTTATCATTAACTAGATTGTTTGTGTATCTGCACAATTTCACATACAACACATTTTAAAGAAAACATTGCAATTCAAACTTCTGCTTATAACATTCACCCTGTTTATTATTTTTCAAATAGATATTCCAGAATACTACAATCAAAGCCTATTGTTTGTTTTCTTTTTCTAGTATCTGAATTGAAGCCAACTAATTTTAGAGTGACAGGTTCAACTGCTACTAACTTAACTTTCTCATGGAATGTACTCAGTGATACTTATATTAATGAATATGTAATCAGTGGAAACAGTTTCAAGATACAACTATCAG